CAATCTTTCATCATCTAATCTTTTTGTCATCCTCATAACCTTACTCTTTCCTGTATTCACTTTTAATTTTCTTCTTTTGCATACCCTACCAAATTCATCCACCAACCTCTGCAACTTCTCTTCAGAATCTCCCAAGAGCACAGTGTCATCACCAAAGAGCAACTGTGACAACTCCCACTTTATGTGTGATTCTTTATCTTTTAACTCCACGCCTCTTGCCAAGACCCTCGCATTTACTTCTCTTACAACCCCATCTATAAATATATTAAACAACCATGGTGACATCGCACATCCTTGTCTAAGGCCTACTTTTACTGGGAAATAATCTCCCTCTTTCCTACATACTCTAACTTGAGCCTCACTATCCTCGTAAAAACTCTTCCCTGTTTTCAGTAACCTACCTCCTACACCATACACCTGAAACATCTGCCACATTGCCCCCCTATCCACCCTGTCATACGCCTTTTCCAAATCCATAAATGCCACAAAAATCTCTTTAGCCTTATCTAAATACTGTTCACTTATATGTTTCACTGTAAACACCTGGTCCACACACCCCCTAACTTTCCTAAAGCCTCCTTGTTCATCTGCTATCCTATTCTCCATCTTACTCTTAATTCTTTCAATAATAACTCTACCATACACTTTACCAGGTATACTCAACAGACTTATCCCCCTATAATTTTTTCACTCTCTTTTGTCCCCTTTGCCTTTATACAAAGGAACTATGCATGCTCTCTGCCAATCCCTAGGTACCTTACCCTCTTCCATACATTTATTAAATAATTGCACCAACCACTCCAAAACTATATCCCCACCTGCTTTTAACATTTCTATCTTTATCCCATCAATCCCGGCTGCCTTACCCTCTTTCATTTTACCTACTGCCTCACGAACTTCCCCCACACTCACAACTGGCTCTTCCTCACTACTACAAGATGTTATTCCTCCTTGCCCTATATACAAAATCACAGCTTCCCTATCTTCATCAACATTTAAGAATTCCTCAAAATATTCCTTCCATCTTCCCAATACCTCTAACCTGCTTATTTTCATTAAATTCCATCCCTATACAGTACATACTACTTGTTTCAGATTTTTACTTTCCACTGCCATATATTGCAATATACTGCAATCCCTTTTTTCACATAGCTGTTGTACTGATAATTTTACTTTGTATTATCTTGTCTTTGTCATTACCTATTATATCCATGTCTGCATAAATAACTTTCAGAGAACTTTTATTTCATTTTTTATATTGTAATTTAATTAACCATGCTAGAACTAGAAAAGTGCTTTTTTTATTTTGTTATTTTATGAATTAACTTGTAACCAGTAGCTATTGTTAAGCTCCTATTATCACCATGAATTAGATCCTAAAAAAAAAAAATGTGGATTTTATTTCCATGGGGAAGTGGAACAGAATTCTTCCTCAGTGAGCCATGCGTGTCATAAGAGGCAACTAAAATGCTGGGAGCAAGGGGCTAGTAACCCCTTCTGTATGCATTACTGAAGTTAAAAAGAGAAACTTTTCTTTTTCTTTTTGGGTCACCCTGCTTTGGCCAGTTTGTTGAAAGAAGTACAGTGGACCTTCGACCAACGATTTTAATCCATTCCAGAGAGCTTGTCCTTAGCCGAATTTATTGTTAGCCAAATTAATTTTCCCCATAAGAAATAATGGAAATGCAATTAATCCGTTCCAGACAGCCAAAAGTATTGAAAAAAAATATTTTTTTTTACATGAAATATACACTTCCCTACAAAGAAAACAATGAGACATGCACAATACATAAATAAACACTAAAATGACACTTACCTTTACTGAAGAGTATTGATGAGTGATGAGACACTTTCTTGAATACACTGGGATTTTCAGTGATACACAAGTAAAGGCTTCACTTTGCAATCACTACTAGCACTACAACAAAACATGAGAGTTAGTCAGTTTTTCATAGGCTTGTGTCCTGGGAGTGCCTCTTCCTCCTGAGTTATGTAGCTCCTGTTTGGCATTTTCTTCCAGAACAGGCCTGTTTCGTCACAATTGAAAACTTGTTGGGGTTGGAATTTTTCAGCTTCGCCGTGCCTTATCACACTGTGTATGCCACTACAATTCTTAAATCTCTCAAACCAACCTTTACTGGCCTTAAATTCACCAATATGAGCACTAGTTCCAGGCATTTTTTCCTGTTCACCTGGGTGTTAGTCGACTGGTATGGGTCGCATCCTGGGGGACAAGATTAAGGACCCCAATGGAAATCAGTTCGACAGTCCTCGATGATGCACTGACTTTCTTGGGTTATCCAGGGTGGCTAACCCTCTGGGGTTAATTGTTTCTCAGTAATTGTTTCTCGTTAAGCCACACCAACAACACACACTCCACATCGAGTAGTACAGCTGACAGTGGTGCAGCAGCAGCAGCTGACCATGGTACAGCAGCAGCTGATGGTGGTGCAGCAGCAGCTGACGGTGGTGCAGCAGCAGCTGACGTGTGCAGAGCGTGCAGTGGTGCAGCAACAGCAGATGACGGTGGTACAGCAGCAGCTGACGGTGGTGCAGCAACAGCTGAAGGTGGTGCAGCAACAGCTGAAGGTGGTGCAGCAGCAGCTGACAGTGGTGCAGCAACAGCAGCTGCTGATGGTGGTGCAGCAGCAGGTGGTGGTGGTGCAGCAGCAGCTGACGGTGGTGCAGCAATGGCTGATCGTGGTATGATAGTATTTCTCACCCTTTTTACCACAGGGTTGGCACTAGAAGCTTTCTTTGGGCCAATGGTGGCTTATTTAGCAGTTCCAAGCACTAAAAACAACGGAATACAAAATATATCGCATGAATGCGTGAAACTGTCCGCCCTGGCTTGTAAACAATGGCACACTAGCTGAAGGCAGGGCTGCTGAGGCGCTCAGGCTGGACGGACAGGCGGATGTGTTCGGGACGAATGTCCTTACCTGAATTTTTCATCATTGGTCGAGCCAATATTTTTATGCAAAAACACATCGCTGCCCGATTTTATCGTTAGTCGGTGCCATCGTTGGTCGAAGGTCCATTGTAGTTGTGTGGATTTTAACTATAGTCTAATTTTTGCCCAAAATGCTATGTATCCTACAGGCCTTCAGATAACTGTATGTTTTGGGTGTACAGTAATTTTGAAGTAATGATTATGTATTTGCATTTGTGCACAATATTCAAAATAATGACCCCAGCGAGGGGCAACAGAACGAGACAACCTGGTAAGGATTCCTCTCTTTCCCCAGGGGGACGTGCCCAAACTTGAGAGCCCCTGAATGCAAAAGTAGGTCCACACCACTACAAAAATGCTCTTCTCTAATATTCCTCAGATTGGATACCCAACTGTCCAACAAAGAGCAGCACTAAGTTGTACATGGGTGACCACGATTAACTTCATCCTTCCCCAACAGCGAAAGCATCAGGAATGCCCCATCCATCATTCCTTCCCAAGGGCTCCAACCAAAAATCCCTGCTGCATTATAGATGCTGTACAAGCACACTCACTGTGACAAGGCATGTTTAAAATATTGAGCCAAATACCATGGATAACTAACAGCAATTATTAAATGATCATCTCCATTAAGTAATTCCTAGAAACACTTTCCTTATTATGAAGTTGTACAACATTCTTCCCAGCTATATTTTGAGTGTGTGACATACTTATTTATCAAGATCACAGGATGCCATGACCTATATTCAGAGCATTTATTTATTCTGTATCACAAGTGAAAGGTGTGCTGGTGATATTGCAAGAGGAGGAAGTCACTGGTAACAGTTGAATTAGTGGAATGACAGTTGCTTCTGATCAATTATCACATTCACAAGTGATGGAACAGTAGTAGTGCAATGACCCTATCAATTATCAAATTTGCAGATAACAGAACAGGAATAGAGCAATGATACTATTAATTATCACATTATATAATGGTATTCATGGCTTTCTTTGGCAAACTGGCTAAACTCACTTTCTTCTGTTTAACAGTCCAATTCATTAAGTTGAAAACCCAAACCTCAGCTTCCCCAACAATTTTAAACATATATATAAAAATTGTACAGATATATTCAGACAGGAACCTGTGTGAAAAGCATGTAAGATACCACAGTTAGATATGAATATTACAGTGAAAATATCTTCACAAGTGGGTGCCACTTCAAATTAAATGACAGGAATTTTCTCCTCCTCCTTTATGAAGAAATACTAGCATATTCTTTGTCCATAAGGAGCACAGTATACTAAGATAATTAACCCCTTAGATTTACTAATCAATTTACAATGCTTTACTAGCCTGCATCAAGATGATTGGAGCAAAACTGAGCACTGAAACTATAATTATCTCAAGTCAGATGCACAACACTAAATGAAGATTTTAATTCCCAAATCTCTCAGCAAATAATAATTTCAATAAAACATCAAGCAATACACTAGTATTAGTGATCAGTTAAATTTTATGAAATTGTCATTCAACAGTTTCACATGGCCTGTCTAATACTTAAAAACTCATTATTTCTCCAGTTAATTTTCTATAGATGTATTTCTCAAGTCTCAATTCAGTAAGTGAAAATAAAAAAAATGTAAAAACATTCCCATGCAATGTGTAACTTGAAAAGTTCTACGGTAACCTATGCCAAGATAACTCACAATCTGATTTCATATTAAAATTTGAAGTTAAAAGACTATATAAATTGTACAATTAAAGGAATTAATAAAAAAACTGATATTTTGTAATTACACATTTATGCAAATTAACTTGATGCATTTACATGTCCAACATAATACAAATTAAAAAATAATTAGAGTATACATATATGCCCATGCATCTCATCTCTAAACAATTTATAGGAAGTCAGAAAACACACACACACAAAAAAAATCCAACTACTATTTATATGAGAGCCAGTTCTAAAGCACAGTTTAAGCAAATAACAGCAAACATCTTGGGAAAACAAAATCAAACATTAAACATACAGTGCACACAAAAACAAGGTATAGCACTTACACCAGATGTGATGAACATTGTAGAGGCGGCCAACCTGAGAGAAGAATCCTCCGAAGGCCTCGTTATTTGCTTGCCGAAAGTGAATAGCTCTTGACCAGTTGTTTCCCCATTCAATCATGGTGCCAGGCTACCAAGTGTGAAATGATAAATTTGATTCCAAATTATCCACTGTAAATCTCGAAGACTAAATAAATAATAGGCGATTATTTTCAACATGTTATAGTAATACTGAATATATTTTTATGAATCCTATAAGTGACATACAGGATTACGTGCATGTTGAAGTTAACCAGTTTTGGTTTTCCACTTGACCTTAGTGTGCTTATTCACATTTGTTGTGAGGTGTAATAATCTTCAGAACATGGAAATAAGTTACAGTATTTGAATATATTGGGTTATCCTAGGTTAAATCTACATTGTGTGAATTTAGAATGAATAAAGCATCTTCCTGTCAGTCCAACACCCTATTGGCTGGTGGTGGAACATCAGGTTCTGGGTTCATTGTTTACTTATATTGGTTAGTCAGCATTACTCATGATGCATTACATGGACTCGTCTGGTCTCAGAATTTTAAAAGGCATGATGAGGTTTTATGACCCCCCCCAACAGTTGTGCTGAGGTCAAAAATATTGGCAGGTGGCACATTAGAAACCATGGAAAATTGTGTACTGGTACATTGGACATGGTCCTCATCTGCATACTAATACATTGGACACAGTTAACCCTTTCACTGTCAGTCCCGTAATATGTACTGTATTATGGCTTGCAAGCCAGTGTCGCTCCCGTAATATTACGCCAAAATTCTAGGGACTTCAAATCTAGCAGGAGAAAGCTGGTAGCCTACATTTGAGAGAATGGGTCTGCATGGTCAGTGTGCGCAGTATAAAAAAAATCAGGGAGCCAGTGGTGCATTGTAGGAATGCCAGTTCAGTAGTCCTTGTTCAGCATGCCTAGCGGTAAGAAATATCTGATTCCCCGGCGAATTTGGGACTCTTCTCTTTCCAAGTGATAGTTCTAACACAGATGGAAGTGTCAGTGAAGATGAATTTCAGGGTTCTGAGGAGTTTGTGACCAAAAGCAATGCCCAGGATACCAGATACAGATAGTGAAAAGGGAAGGCAGCTTGGGTGGTGGGGAAGGCAGCTTGGGTGGTGGAGAAGGCAGCTTGGGTGGTGGAGAAGGCAGCTTGGGTGGTGGAGAAGGCAGCTTGGGTGGTGGAGAAGGCAGCTTGGGTGGTGGAGAAGGCAGCTTGGATGGTGGAGAAGGCAGCTTGGATGGTAGGGAAGATGGTGTGGGTGGTTGGGAAGACGGTGTGTAACTTTATTCAGGTATACACGAATACAGTTACATAGATTATCATACATAGCAGCATGTGTAGAGAACCTAGGATAACCCAAAAAAGTCAAACTGACTTATTTCCAGCATGGATGGTGGGGAAGTCAGTGCTGGATCAGCCGGGCTGTGGTTCGTACGTTGGACTGCATGTGGCCATCAGTAACAGCCTGGTTGATGAGGCCCTGATCCACTGTGAGGCCTGGTCGTGGACCGGGCTGCGGGAGTGTTGATCCCCGGAATAACCTCCAGGTAGACTCCAGGTGGGTGTGGGGAAGGCAGTGTGGGCAGTGGGAAAGACAGTGTGGGTGGTGGGGAAGGCAGCACAGGTTTGTCTAAACAAGTTTTGTAAACAATATAATGATAAAGTTTGTGTGGTTATTGTGTTGCATACAACGAGTGGGTATATATACATGATGCATTTTATTGGTCTCACAGGCCACAAAAGTTACTTGAAAAAATAAAATATTAGAAAAGAAAAAAAAAAAATAAAAGTAAAAATAATATTACCGAATGAGCGGCAGTTGCCGATGCTGTCCTAAGCGATTCACTATCTGTCAACTTCATGCCTCTATATCTCGATAAGTACTGATCGCCAAATTTTTTTTTCTTCCAACTCTCTGACTGTCGCAACCCCAAATCCCGAAGTCTCTCCTGGTGTCGCAAAATATTTTTTTGGGGAAAAAAAAAAAATCTTATGAAATGATAGAGAATCTTTTCCCAATGATAATGACACCAAAAGTATGAAATTTGGTGGAAAACTTATGGAATTACGCTCTCGTGAAGTTAGCGACCTCGGCGACATTTACGCATCAGCAATTTCTCCCACTTTGAGCCCTATTTTCGGCCAATTCCACTGTTCCAGTCCACAAAACTCAGATATTTCTTCAGAACTCTATTTGTTCTGTTGACTGAATACAAGAAACTGCCCATTTACCAATTTCAACTACCCAATAAAGTGGTCAGAAACTGGCAATTTGGCCAATTTCATGCAAATTAAAAAATATGTCAGTTTCAAAATAGGGTCCAGAATGAACAATGCAGACATTCCTGGCACTAAACATTTTCTCTGTTCATCAGTCACATCTCTTTCTATTTTGAATTTTTATTCACACAAAAAACAGAAGATTTACTGTTATTCAGACTACTGCAACATTGTAATAATTGTATAAATAATGTCAACCCATTTGTGACTGCATATTACAATGGCTAGTTGGACATTTATTGGACAATGACGTCATTTGTTTACTCTTGAACATCGGCAAAAATCGAACATGATTATATACACCTGGAAAATCCTAGAGGGACTAGTACCGAACTTGCACATGAAAATCACTCACTACGAAAGCAAAAGACTTGGCAGACGATGCAACATCCCTCCAATGAAAAGCAGGGGTGTCACTAGCACGTCAAGAGACCATACAATAAGTGTCAGGGGCCCGAGACTGTTCAACTGCCTCCCAGCATACATAAGGGGGATTACCAATAGACCCCTGGCAGTCTTCAAGCTGGCACTGGACAAGCACCCAAGTCGGTTCCTGACCAGCCGGGCTGTGGCTCGTACGTTGATTTGCGTGCAGCCAGCAGCAACAGCCTGGTTGATCAGTCTCTGATCCACCAGGAGGCCTGGTCACAGACCGGGCCACGGGGGCGTTGACCCCCGGAACTCTCTCCAGGTAAACTCCAGGTAATAGTAAGACCAATCAAAATCACTTCTATTTCTATAACATGTTTTCTATTTTATCAAATAAGACCAAGAAAACAAGAATGCAACCATAAACAACATACGAAAACACACCTCAAAGTCGGCATTTTAATCCAAAAACACAGTCAGATTTTTTTTTCTCATTCTGCACTGCATGCTGAAGGATTTTCTTTATACTGTACACACTGACCACACTGATACATTCTCTCACATGTGGGCCTACCAGCTTTCTCCTGCTTGATATGAAGGCACTAGAATTTTAGAGTATATATATGTCAAACACATTGGCTCGTAAGACGTATATATACGACCGAAACAATCAAAGGGTTAAAACAATAAAAAACTATTCTTAAGATTTTGGCAAGAAAAAATTTTTTTTTTCCAATATTTTTCAACATTGAGAGCAGATTTGTGATCAGAGGTCTCGACAGTGAAAGGGTTAAGGGGGTTAGATCAGGTGTGAGCTGTAGCTCCCACTGTGTAACCAGCAGATCTTACTAACACGGTATATATCAACTGCTCATGGAGAGCCAATGGCTATGCAGAGCACTGGTAGTGCTTGTTAAATAAAGTACAAATCCTGTATTTCAGTAGTCATTTATCTGGATAAAGGCATAACCTTTGGATGAAAGGAGTCTGAATTGCATTTTACTTTAAATATGTTCCTAGGTCAAGTGCTAGATGACATTTTTTGTAATAGTCATAAATTTTAATGCTCAAGACAAAATATGCAATTCTCATCATAAGACGAAGTCCTCCAATATAAAGCAAATCTTACATACAATAAACCCTATATTTAACAGATTTCGATTGACAAAATCCATCAGGTCAATCAATTCAGAAACAACGGATCAAGTTCGTTGTTTCAAGAATTATTCATTATGGTTACAATCGTAGCAAAACAATTTTATCTACATCCATCACAATCACCACCATTACCAGCCACCTGCTTTTCCCTATTAGTCTGCTAAATTGAGGGCTCACTGTGAAGTATAGTATACAGAATTAACCTACCTTTAAGAAATATGAGCGGATCTCGTATATATTTCCACCTTCACGTGGACTGACTGGAGGCCAGAAGCTGAAGGGTAGCAGGAACTGATTTGAGCGTTGTCGTAAATATGGATTTCTATCCTGAATCAGTTTTGACAAATCCTGAGGAGAAACTTGTATTTAAACATACAACTCAGTAACACCTTGTATAAAAGTGTACAGTTTAGGAATGATATCTTCCCCTCTACCTGTACAGTATTTTTTAGATGGTAGACTTTTAAAAATACTGTGTATCTAAAAAAACAAATACATACATTTATGAAAAATTAGTGCATTCAATCCTTATTGTAAAAAAAGCTATTTTTGCCAGTATCGTAAATTTGACCCAGAGGGTTAACTCTCTGACTACAGGAGTCAGTTTCTCTCTGGCCACCATGAAACATTTCTGAACATTCTGTATTTTGCTACATCAACTAAAAACCAGGATGTGAATTTTCAGCTCTGTAGATGCTGCTACTGCCTGCCAGTCCGAGCTAAACGTCAGAATGTTTACATTCTTCATCTAAGCCACCCACCGACACATTTTCATCCCGTTAATCTTTTTAAAAATTTATTATTATTATTTTCAATAAAGTGGCTGTGTCCCACCAAGGAAAGAACCTACAGATGGAAACACTTCTCCTATCACCCATACACTAACTGTCTTACAAAAAATAGACATGCCACAAATTAAATGACCCTTCAAACTTCAACATCCCAACCATCAGAGTGCAGGCACTCGGCTTCCCACTTCCAGAACTCTTAAGTCTGGTTAACCAGCTGTACTAAGTATCTTTATAAGTTTACTTGCTTATACTCTGACTCACAAAATTGCACATATTGCCCATACTGTGATTTGCTTATACCCTGATAGCAAACCAAATACCATAAACAATATGCATAATCAGTGTGATTTAACCCACTCACACTTGACTGCTGAATGCTCAATCCCTTGCCACTTAAAATCCTTCCTCAGCCCCTCAGGAAAACTCTTCCAGGGATGTCCTCTAATTTTACGCAATTTTACATTGCTGCAAATGGCTCTCCATCTAAGGAATTGGAGCTACCCTCTCCTTCCTCAGTTAAAACTTGACTACTTCCAATTGTTAGGTGCATCTGTTGATGGAGTGATGGTAACAAAGAAACAACTACTGACTAACACTGCTGACACTATTCCAAAAGTGCTGTCCTTTACTTCACACTAGATTTTTATGGTGTACCTTCTTAGTCAGCCTTTTCTGCTTCATCCTTTCTAAATGAACCCTTCCTGTCCTCTTAATCATTCATATCTTTCATACCATTACTGTGTCTTCTAATTTCTGATTTTTATGCTCTAATATTCACACCACTTTTTTAATACACTGGATCCTTCAGAGGTAGGGGATGACCAAGGAAAGAGGAAACACTTTCACCGCCACTCTTTCAATCATTGTCTCACCAGAAGCGTTCCAACATCACAGTTCAGATGACCCTCCAAACTGCACCATCCTCATCCATCCTTCAGACTGTAGGCACTGTATTTCCTGACCCAAGGACTCAAGTCCAGCTGATTCCCCTCAATTCCTTCATAGAAGGTACTTGGTTCACACTCCAACAGCATGTCAAATTATAAAAACCACTTGCCTTCACTCACTCCTATCCAATACATTCACACAAGCCAGTTTGATGTCCAAGGCCCCTTTGCAGATGACACCCGAATCTGCATGACAGTGTCTTCCATTGCAGACACTGCAAGGCTCCAGGCGGACATCAACCAAATCTTTCAGTGGGCTGCAGAAAACAATATGAAGTTCAACGATGAGAAATTTCAATTACTCAGATATGGTAAACATGAGGAAATTAAATCTTCATCAGAGTACAAAACAAATTCTGGCCACAAAATAGAGCGAAACACCAACGTCAAAGACCTGGGAGTGATTATGTCGGAGGATCTCACCTTCAAGGACCATAACATTGTATCAATCGCATCTGCTAGAAAAATGACAGGATGGATAATGAGAACCTTCAAAACTAGGGAGGCCAAGCCCATGATGACACTCTTCAGGTCACTTGTTCTATCTAGGCTGGAATATTGCTGCACTCTAACAGCACCTTTCAAGGCAGGTGAAATTGCCGACTTAGAAAATGTACAGAGAACTTTCACGGCGCGCATAACGGAGATAAAACACCTCAATTACTGGGAGCGCTTGAGGTTTCTAAACCTGTATTCCCTGGAACGCAGGAGGGAGAGATACATGATTATATACACCTGGAAAATCCTAGAGGGACTAGTACCGAACTTGCACACGAAAATCACTCACTACGAAAGCAAAAGACTTGGCAGACGATGCACCATCCCCCAATGAAAAGCAGGGGTGTCACTAGCACGTTAAGAGACCATACAATAAGTGTCAGGGGCCCGAGACTGTTCAACTGCCTCCCAGCACACATAAGGGGGATTACCAACAGACCCCTGGCAGTCTTCAACCTGGCACTGGACAAGCACCTAAAGTCAGTTCCTGATCAGCCGGGCTGTGGCTCGTACGTTGGTTTGCGTGCAGCCAGCAGCAACAGCCTGGTTGATCAGGCGCTGATCCACCAGGAGGCCTGGTCACAGACCGGGCCGCGGGGGCGTTGACCCCCGAAACTCTCTCCAGGTAAACTCAAAACATCTCTCCAACCTTTCCTTGAACACCCGATACCCCTTCTTTCCTCCAACTCACCTTAGTTACCCTAGCTTTCTCCATCCTCTCTAAATGCCCAAAACACCTCATCAATCTCTCCTTAGCCCTCTAAATAAAACTTTTGGGAATCCCACATCTTATCTCTATGTTCTGAATACTCTGCATAATATTCACACCATGTACAGGAGGGCACCGCTTATATGGCAGGTTAGGTTCCAGGCTACTGCCATCAGCAAATCACTATCATATATTACACTATCATATATTAAGTTAGCAACAGAACTAGGAATTAAAAACAATATAGTAAAATATACATACAGTACACTCATTACCTACCTTAAAATATTGGTAGTCTTGATGTAGGGTGAGAGGCGAGTAGTATTCATTGTAGGAAGCGAAATGTGATAGCCCACCCAGCTAGCACACTTCACAATTGTTTAATTGTTTTACTACGATTGTATGTATATATTTTCTTTATAGATATGAAACATAATTCTCATATAATTTTGAAAAAAAAAAAAAAAATGTTATAGATGGATTAATGAATACAGTGGACCCTCGACATTCAATACTTATCCGTTCCTGAGAGCTATCGAATGTCGAAAATATTGAAAGTCGAATTAATTTTCCCCATAAGAAGTAATGGAAATCAAATTAATCCGTGCAAGACACCCAAAAGTATGAAAAAAAAAATTTACCACATGAAATATTAAGTTTAATGCAATAGAATAATTACAATAACAATAGATTAATAACAATAGAATAATTGGCACTTACCTTTAATGAAGATCTGGTAATGATTGATGGGATGGGAGGAGGGGAGTGTGTGGATGGTGTTAGTGTTTAGAAGGGGAATCCCATTCCATTAGGACTTGAACTGGCAGCCTCACCATGCCTTACCACACTGTGTATGCCACTACGATTCTTAAATCTTTCAAACCAACCTTTGTTGGCCTTAACTTCACTCACATCACCACTAGTTGCAGGCAATTTATTTACCAAATCATCATGCACTCCGACACACACACACTCCACTTTATTACTTTGCAATTATCTCTTTCTTCATTTCAATAGTCATTAGCACCTTTTTTCTCGAAGGGTTGGCACTAGAAGCTTTCTTGGGGCCCATGGTTACTTATTTTGCAGAAACAAGCACCAAAAACAGTGATAATATGGATAATATGGAATGTACCAAATGTATCCTTAGATGCACGCACACTGGCTGGCTTGTAAACACTGGCACACATGGGGCAGTTCAGGCCACACGTGGACACGTCTTGTATGAGTTGTATCGAATGTCGAGGTGAAATTTTTGCGTTAAAATGCATCGAATGTCGGATTTATCGAATGTCGATGCCTTCGGATGTCGGGGGTCCACTGTATGTCTATAATAATGTAGTTATGCAACATTTAGTGTCTCAGGGCAATTATTATGCTTACTGCCACTGACATACCTCATTCAATCATTTCTAACTTAGCATTTAAAATAATAGGCTTATGACTCCTCTTTTTATCACAACTATTATTATTATCATAAATGAGAGAACGAGACACACACAGAATGTAAACAAACTGAGGGCTGTTTTATTAAGACCTTTCCACTTTCTGAACATACATGCTCATTTCACAATATGCACGCTTTTATGAAGCTTTTTCCCCCACAATACAAACACCTTACACTGTGTACAAGTTGTCTTCACATTGGTGCAGTAGAATAAATAACAGCAACACTTCCATTCCTATGCAACACACCATTTAGATTGAGAATGATGCTATGAGTGAAGGCATACAAAACAGATATTTATGTACAGTTACCCCCAGTAATACTACACTGTACACAGCTTCTCTGGTGTTGGACTATAGAAAATGGAATTCTTGCCATCACTCCTACAAACTGCATGGCTACCTATCTCACATTTATGTCAATTTGTTCTACTATATATTTGTATGTATTATAAGATATGTAGCATGTTTCATATAATTTTGAAAAACTATAGATGGATTAATGAAGATGTCTATATTAACATAATATACAACATTTAACCCTTTGACTGTTGCAACCCCCAATCCTGAGGTGTCTCCTGGTGTCGCAAAATTAAAAAAAAAAAAAAAAAAAAAAAAAAAAAAAAAAAAAAAAAAAAAAAAATCTTATGAAATGATAGAGAATCTTTTCCCGATTGTAATGACACCAAAAAAACGAAATTTGATGGAAAACTGACGGAATTATGCTCTCGCGAAGTTAGCGACCTTGGCGCTGTTTACAAATCGGCGATTTTGCCCACTTTGAGCCCTATTTTCGGTTAATTCCATTGTTCCAGTCGCCCAAACTCATAGCTATATCTTTAGAACTCCATTTTTTCTATCGATTGAGTACAAGAAACTGCCCATTTACCGACTTCAACTACCTAATAATGTGGTCAGAAATTTGCAATTTGGCCAATTTCACGAAAACTAAAAAATATGACAATTTCAAAATAAGGTCCAGAATGAACAATGCAGACATTCCTGGCTCTAAAATAACATTTTCTTTGCTCATCAGTCATGTCTCCAGGCCCCTCTGATATTACTCTTGCTTTCTATTTTGAATTTTTATTCAAACAAAAAATAAAAGACTTACTATTATGCAGACTACTGCAATACTGTAATAATTGTATAAATAACATCAACCCATTCATGACTGCATATCAGAATGGCTAGTTGGATATTTATTGGACAATGGCATCATTTGTTTACTTTCGAACATTGGCAAAAATCAAACATTTCCCCTACTTTGAGCTCCATTTCTAGGTTCTTTTTGAGCTCCATTTCTAGGTTCTTTTTATAGTAAAATCAATCAAAATCCCCTCTATTTCTATAATATGTTTTCCATTCTATCAAATGAGACCAAGAAAACGAGAATAGAACCATAAATACTATACGAAAATAGACCACAAAGTCGGCATTTTAATTAAAAAACGGTCGGAGTTTTTTTCTTCTCATTATGCACTGCGTGCTCCAGGATTTTTTTTATATGGTGCACACTGACCACACAGACCCATTCTCTCACATTTGGGCCAACCAGCTTTCTCCTGCTTGATTTGAAGCCGCTAGAATTTATGAGTATATATACTTCAAACACGGTACCTCGTAAGACGTATATATACGGCCGCGACAGTCAAAGGGTTAAAGTGCCCATGAGCGATTATTATTATTACGCTTATTGCATCAACACTAGCAAGACATTCTTAGAGATTTTAATGTGTTCCTGCATGCCAGCATAGTACATGTTTATTTAGGTACTGGTACACAAAAGTATATAATTTTTTTTTTTTTTAACAAGTCGGCCGTCTCCCACCGAGGCAGGGTGACCCAAAAAGAAAGAAAATCCCCAAAGAGAACACTTTCATCATCATTCAACACTTTCACCTCACTCGCACATAATCACTGTTTTTGCAGAGGTGCTCAGAACACAAGTTTAGAAGCATATACGTATAAAGATACACAACACATCCCTCCAAACTGCTAATATCCTGAACCCCTACTTTAGAGTGCAGGCATTGTACTTCCCATTTCCAGGACAAGTCTGGTTATACAAAAATAACTGGTTTCCCTGAATCCCTTCACTAAATTTTACCCTGCTCATACTCCAACAGATCGTCAGGTCCCAAATACCATTCGTCTCCATTCAGAGTATATATAAAATATGCAATAACTTTAAAAAGCTTGAAATTTAGGAATGTTTCCAGACATAATCGAGAGATGCAGAGCTCACAGAGGATGTAAACAGAGTGGCGCACAATCGCCGTAATAGTGAATCAGGGAACTGTACAAACAAATTTTTAGTCATAATTTGAAATGTCCATATTAACAAATCACTGTAAAGTGGGGACCACCTGCATTGCCTTTATATAGACCTCTAAACTGCTTCCAACCTCCTCCTCACTATAATGTTCAAAACCCATACTATCAGACCTTCTTGCTGAAACACTCAAAGATGGCACCACTATTCACTAATACATTTGTTTTACACAGCTTGCACCTGGAAAACAACATAAAATGAATGAAAAATACTTGGTACTATATGAGCTAGTATTACGATTGTTTCATTGATGGTGTTCAATAAAAGCTAAATCAATCAATTCATTCCATTTATTTTTCTCCACTAAAGGTAAGAAAGAAAAATAAAGCATGGGTTTACTGGTATCTTATAAACAATAGTAGTATGGTATATACAGATTTAACCCTGATATCTACAAAACTGTGCAAAAAATTCAAAGACAAGCTGGCAATGGCTAGAAACTTGGCAACAAAAGCTGTGAAGCATATACAGCAGGTTCCCATCTTATGAACAACCCAGTAATGAACATCCATACTTACAAATGGGGCACTTAACAACCAATTAATCTCTTACAAAAGTCATTCCACCATTCAGAACACAGACAACTGTATAAGCATAATGCTTAGTGTAAACTATAGGTAAACACCCCTTAAACTGAAAACTAACCATGTTAAAAATATATTTCATAAATTTTTTGCACATATCTCTTATCATTCTTTAAAAACTTTCTTATGAATGCCAACATTAATGACATTAAATCAATACTGAAAGATACAGCCTTTGATGCAAATTTAGAAGTTGCAGAGGCTACAGGATTTTTGTGAAAATAAACTAAATAAAAAAAGGAGTTCAATTTCACTGTTAAAATAAATTTAGATACAAAATACTCTCCAGAAATGCATCTCCAATTACATTTTGATGGGGTTTAGGTTCTGAGTACAGAACACTTGATTTACAAACAAAACTCAAGAACAAATCTTGTTCATTAGTTGGGGGCCCTGCAATAGACAGTTACCCTTACTGTCGTATCTAAGAGGATTTATATATCTAGTAAACTACATGTAGCTTACTGGATCTGAGGCATATAATTTGTTAGCAGCATCTATAGCACCATATCCTCCAGCATACTTCCATAAGTGAACACACTGATCCTGGTCACCAACTGCAACAGTCCACGACCCTTGAAGTTCAGGGTGAACGGACTGGTCTGCAAATTTGTCAGCAACACCTTTCACGTATTCCTCACTGAAATTAGAAAGTACAGTTGTAATTAAAAGTAATATCTAACAATGATGGATTGTTAAAAATATCTTGTATACATACTGTATTATGCATTAGACATGTATTCAAATATATTAAGTATTATAGCACTACTATTATTACTGCTTCTATTTACTGTAAATGATGTAAACTTAAAACAGTACAGTTATTCAAAAACTTACACAAAACAGACCGGCCATCACTAATCTGGCAATCAGTAATCCAGTTCCATGAGTAATCTGGCACTAATTTAGGCTAGCACAATTTCAAATTTCCGGGTCACCACACCAACCTGCTGCTACTGTTTGGTGGTGCTACTTGCTGCAGAAATCATTCCAATTTCCTTTTTTCCATTTATTGTTATACCCTGCTCACTTTTACCCCCAGCCATGGTTCCAACGAATAAAAGAAATGCTTCTCGTTGTGTAAAGCACATACACGTACATTGTCCATAAAAGATAACATGACTTTGAAGCCATGAGCTCAGTTCACTCAGGTAAGCTGTGACCGGTATATTTGGCCCTACATATGAGAGAAAAGGTCTGTGTGGTAAGTGTGCACTATATAAAAAATATCCTGCAGCAAGAAGTGCATAATGAGAAAAAACTTCGACTTTGCAATGTATTTTTGTATGGTTATTATGGTTGTATTCTTGTTTTATGGTCTCATTCGTTAGAATGGAAGATATACTATATAAACAGATAGGATTTTAATTGGTTTCACGATGGAAAGTACCTTGAAATTGAGCTGAAAGTAGCGGAAATGTTCAATTCTTGCCAATGTTCATGAGTAAACAAATGATGTCACCGTCCAATACGTGTCCAACTGGCTGGTCTAATACGCAGTCATGAATGGGCTGACATTTATACAGTTACTACAATAATGCAGTAGTCTGCATAACAGTAAATCTACTTTTTGTGTGAATCAAAATTCAAAATAGAAAGCAAGAGTAATTTAAGAGGGGCCTGGAGATGTGACTAATGAACAGAGAAAATATTATTTTAATGCCAGGAATGTCTGCACTGTTTATTCTGGACCCTATATGAAACTGGCATCTCCTGAAATTTGTGTGAATTTGGCCAAATTACCAATTTCTGACCACTTTACTGGGTAGATGAAATAGGTAAATGGGCGGTTTCCTGTACTCATCGACAGATTCAATAGAAAGAATACTAGCAAAACAGCTATGAGTTTGGTAGACTGGAACAATGGAATGGGCCAAAAATAAGGCATAAAATGAGTGAAATATCGCTGTTGGGTTAAGTGTATTCTAACCTAACCACTCTGTAATCCGGCAAAATCACTAATCCAGCACCCTACAGGTCTCAATGATGCCGGATTAGTGATAGTCAACCTGTACTTTATAATTATTTAAAAATAAAAAAAAAAAGCCAAGGAAATACTTACTAATTCTTGAGGTAAGCACTTC